TATATATCTAAGTCTGTGCAATTATCAAGTACAAATGAATATTTTAAAAAGTATTGAAATCAATTTTGCAATTTATATCTTAGTTTTATCTATTTGGAAAAAAAATACCTGTACATTTTTGTGATTAACTTGTTCTCTTTCATAGTGTAATCACCATACTGCTGTTATTGTTCCCATTAAAATGTAGTCAGGACTAACGATATTTTATGCATTTAGCGTAGTTAAATACATATTATAAAAGGAAAATATAATTGGATAAAATGTATGAATTTATCATCAGTAGGCAATACTGAATATTTGTAATTTCTTTTGTGTCTTGCTGGAGACATCTTAATTAAATATTTATGATTTTCGAATCTCAAACCAGCATAATGTTTTAACAAATCGAATTGTATACAAAAAACATTCATATACAACACGCAGCGATACAAAACAACCATGCAACATTAACAGCAAAGTAAACAACAACAACATTAACAGCAAAGTAAACAACAACAACATTAACAACAAAGTAAACAACAGCAACATTAATCAATTTTAAAATTATTAGATATACATTATACTGAGACTTACCTTTTTCGTTTAGCACGCAAGACGCTAACCCAATAATGGTGAGGAGAAGTACCGGCTGTGCTATCATTTTGTTACTATTTTGATTATTTATTATTTTGGACTTCAATACAACTACACGTTACAACGTTGTTATGGCAAAATTGATCTTCTTCATTGTTCACTGTGTAAATTGTTAAGTTGAAAATCTTTTCTTTAAAGTTCGTGTCCAACAATTAAAGCAGGGAAAGAATTCGTTTCACACACGTAAATATTTGTTATTCCATCAAATTCTTCCGACGAAAGTCACAGGCACACACAAGGATACTTATTCCGGAGACTTTATAGTCTTTGAACTGTTACCCCACCCATACCTACTATTTTAATTTTGATTTGGATACGTCATACTCTAGATATATGTCTTAGCAGGTCGTTTAAAGTTTAGAGAAGAGGCAATCCAAGTCTCTATCAAAGAGCAATGCTAACCTTTGTGACTGTGTGATTTATAAACGGGTCCCTGTATGGGTCAATATTGGTTGTGTGGGTGCCTGTCGCTTGGAGAAGATAACGTCACAACACAGGTTATGAATTTCTGTCCCGAATTTATCCATCGGTAATCGTACAGTAGACAATCTTGTCGATATATCAAGTTCATCGAGTTCCATATATTAAAATCTAAGTGAACATATCTTATCGATAGTTAAACCATTAGTAAACATTCAGATGTGTCAAGCTTAGAAAAAAAGCTTAGCCATTTCGGAAACGCCCACTACGTTCTAACATGAATTAATTTTGTGTCAAAATCAACAATAACATGTGAAAGGAGCATAAATCGTGTATTATCCAATTATGGGACAGTATGGTCTACCGTGTTACGATATAATGATTTAAAGATAGCTGTCAAGTGAAATTGATTGATATACAAATTTATCTGCTGATGTCATAAAATCCTTGTAAACTTTATAACCCTCTCTTATCTGATGATGATAACATTCAATAATCTTACTCTTAAAACACATATAGACATATACAAATCAATACAAAAGATATATGTTGGCTGATGAACTAAACAATTCGATGAGTGGAACAAATTTTCCTTTGATTTACTATGTTTTACATGGCTGTGACACTTACTCCATCGGAACACCTGGTCTTACAGTTGTGAGATCGCACAACGTACCAAAAATAGCGTGCGCACATCGTGCATACACCGTGCGCACATCGTGCGTGTATCGAGCGTGTATCGTGCGTGTATCGTGCGCACAAATGTGCAATGTGTGATTCTCTGTGCGGTTTAGTTCGATCGGTTGATTGATATTGCGAAATTATCAAAAAAACGGAATGTGTCGTATGAAATCGAAAATGAGGCGTGCATCATCTCGTATACGGAAATGGATGCTGGTCGACGATTGTCACCTTTTGCGAAGGAAAAGATCGTTATATACCACACCATTTGACTCTCTGGCCCGCAAAATAGTTGAAAAGCTGAGGGATGGTCATCAGATTGTAACAATACGCCAATAAATAAATAAATTATTGTATCAGCTAGCTTGAACTCCTTCTCAATATGTTATATGTTGAAAAACTTGTAATGTTGTACTTATCGTCACACGCCATTATAATGTAATTATATATTATGATTAATAAAAACCTTCAACCTTAAAACCATATTATAGTGCTACATGTAACATAAGAAAAACTCTTAATTAAAGTTTTATTATACAAGTGTGATTTTAGTAGTACATGTATATACTTTACACATTACTATTTTAGTTTCATATCATTATTCTAAAGTATAATTATAAATGCTATGATTGTAAAAATTGAATATTGTTGTTCGGTACTGGTACATCTCATGAGAGATGTGTTTTTAGTAAAAGTTTTGTGATTATTCTATTTTAGGCTAGAGAGTCTGTACAAAGTATATGTACTTGATCAATGTACTTTTATGTTTCTAAAACAAGTGACACTTAAATGAAATATATCTTATCTGTCTTTACATTTTTGTGGTCTCTATAGAATTACAAGTTATTTTATTCTTCAAATGGATTTTATTAACTGTATCTTTAACTATACTTTAATAAAATAAATTATTGATTGATCAACTTTGGTTGATGGCAAAAGCAATCATATCAGCAGTTTAAATTGTCGTTGACATAATATAATGACATACTTGATATACTGTAAAAATAAAAACTAAAAATATTGGAAAAACGATGGCCCCAGTTTCACAAATCTTCCTTAAGGAATTTTCCTTAGCTTATAATTATCATACATTGCTCATCGAAAAACATTTCATACTGTTAATTAAGGAATGGAGTTTCTTTAATTGTAAGTTTTTCCTTAACTTATGTAAATGGTTATGTAATTTGGGAGTTAAGATTTTTAAAAGTTAAGGAAGATTGGTAAAACTGGGGCCTGAATGTAACAAAATAACTTTTAATGTGAAATAAATTCAAAGTGTATTTTATCAATAGGATTAAGTGTTGCAAAATTTAACAAAATTTACCTACAAAATATAGTTAAAATGAAACTTCTACAATTTATTTATCTCTGGTTAAAAATAAACCAAGAACAGTTCAAAACATTTTGGGAATATTGTGTGTGTATAGATGGAGTAACACTTCTAATACACGCTGTAAAAAGTCAAATGATAAACTTCGGGTGTTTGTAATTTTAATCAGTGCAGTTGGCGAGTCCTATCTGCTTGACGTTGTATATTGAAACTGTAGGCCTATAATAAGTTAATAGCTGATCGAACAATTACACATATTGGATTCTTCAATTATCTGCAAAGTTATGCACATGTGCAATAAAATATAATATCAAAAGCTATACTTACCAGTAGTTATCAGTTGGTCTAATCTAACTAGCTGCGAGTCAGGGAATAAATTGTGACATTGACCGATTGGTGTCGTAGCACTGGCTATTTCATTGTTATAAAAACACAACATGGCATGTATAATATTCTTGTGTGTTCTGACGCTGATAGTATATAATTGCGCTTGGAACGTATACTCTTAACAATATGCAGCATGGCTTCTCATTGTGACACGTTTCTTAGGCCTAATTAGGTCTCGCGCCTCGTGTTGTGAGTGTCACAGATCGAAGCGGTCCGTCTAAGAGCCCTGGTTGTGTGTTTACAAGCGACTGCCTTAATGCGAGATCTTGTTGAAAACGTAACAAACAACTGGCGACAAAGTGAATTTTTATTCTTAAAAGAAAATTCAAGATTGATCAGTTTACCTTGGTCACGACAACACATGAAGTATATTAATATAACAATCGTTCCGCACATTTGAACTTTATTCATAACCAATTCCTAAATTTATATAAACCACGATAGCTAACGTTTGGATCGTCCATCGTGCGCCCATTCGCCTGCACGATGCAATCGCACATTGTGCAGACATCGTGCTCACACCGCACATCGTGTAACGTTGTGCGATCCCACAACTGTATTATCCATGTATTTTGTCTCCGAGTAAATCTTTCATTTGATCATATTTTGCCATAGTTATATTTCAGTTCACTCTGAATTATGATTCTGTTGATATGTCGGTATTTTCTTACCAACTTTCGAAAGCTACAGTCAGTTTAAGACCCATTTTATAAACTAAGACTTGCCAGAACTTGAGATTACTTTCCACTACTCCGTGACCTATCTGCATGATCTAACATGTAATTTAATTGAGACAATATCAATCATGTTGGATGCAACATTTTAATGCAGTGAAATACCTTTCAACATATGAACAATTTGGATAACACAACATCACATTAGTGCGGGCTTCGCTCTTCATACATGATTAAAATAAGAGTTTTTGTAACATATGGATGTAAAGATAAATGGCTTTTATTGTTTAACATCTACAAATATTCTCTTCGTGCACTGAATAAATTAACAGTAAATAGCAAAGTTACCTGGTAAACATAAAATGTCCCTTGATCTGTTGACAACATTTCTGGTGTTGGCTGTAGTGTATGGTGATAGTGTTTCGCCACACCAGGTGATATCATCACCGATCCCTTAGCTGTGCTTGTGTTTTGCAACCTCATAACGTGAACTGTGTCAGTCATTGCAAATAGGATCCGCTTTCTATATATCTGTTATATTTCATCGCAAACTTCAAGACGGCAGATCCATTATTCCGTTTTTCAAATATTTCGAATTCCTAATTCATTATTTCTAAAGTTATCTGTATGGCTAACCAGAATCATGCGTTTTGAGTATGTTACTGTCGAATTCTCTTGTCTACAACTATGCTTGGCGGTCAAAGCGTACAGCAAAACCGCAACAACCAAAATTGATCAATTGCTGTAATATTTTGAAACAATCCAGTTCAAATTCATGTTTACCTTTGATGTGAACAAGCATATGTAGATAAGACAGCACATAATGGCACTATCCTAGATCTACACTTACCTAGAGGTAATAGAAAGCAGCAATGATGAGTTGGATAACAAGAGTGGTGTTGACAGTTTTTCTGCTCGTGGGTAAGCTTTTAGACACATATTACACCATGTTACCATGATAATCCAGAACTTGAGTCACTAGAATCGTCAAACTTCTATATCAGTTTGGAAATGCATTCATTGAATATTGGTTCAAAAGACAACGCAACCATCACTACAAATGGGCGAACAAGTAATAATACTGCATCCTAATACTAATTTAGAGTATTTAATCAAAGCGTTGGATTATTATTCATTCTGCCACGTGAACAATATGTTACGATGGTAACAAATATAAATTAGTATTGAGTTTAGGACAATTTGTTATGCGCATGTTTGTTCTATTTGTCCAATTAGCACACATGCGCAACGTTTTTAAAACTTCCCTCATCAGATGTTGATTCAAAGAAAGTATGCTTGTTCCTTTTGCTGTTTTAAACCGATCGGCATTTTCAAGTAAGGAAACACGCTGGCATTTTCTTTTTCAAATGTTTCTAAATCTTTCATTACTTAAGGTTCATGTACAAATGTGGTACTAAGGCATGGCATCTGAACGTAACAACATGTGTGAAAGGTGTAATATTCAGAACTCAGTATCTTATTGTCTTTTAAAATGCTGTCTTGTCATTATTTGCCAGAAATTACATTTTCCCACCAACTTTCAATTATATGTTTTCATTGCATTAGCAACAAGCAAAGCACAAATACTTGGAAAAGTTTCACCATCGATTTAGGACAACCAGGTAAAAACGGTCTGTTATATTATTTAAATGTTGACTTACAAAAAGGTATCAATGTGCTTGCTCACCTACAGAACATTCTTCTCTGTCTTATAGCTGTCTATTATAAGAATAATGGTTTAAAAGAGTTTTCCACACTTAGACATTTGATTTGAAAACAAATACAAATTAGAGCCATCTGAAACACCTTTATTTTTCTCGATTGTCTGTATTGTGTTATGATTGTCCACACGGTACACCTCGTACCTCCTGATGATATACTGGAAGATGATTGGATATTTTTATATCAGATATCTATTTTTAGTTCACAACAAATGTTTGAATTATTTACGACCTATTATTATTATTATATGTAGTCATACATTTACCTAAAAGACGTCTCTAAGATGGTATACTCATGTAACACATGGAGCAATTGCTTTAAACAGCTAGTTAGAGAGTGCCTTGCGATCTTTTGACTGTGTTGTACCATTTCAATCCTTCTACTCCATGCTGTCGTATATCGAAGTGGACTACCACGATAGTTGATATTGAAAGGATGTAGAAAGCATAGTTTGCAATTCCTAACACAGGCCAATAGTGATTATAAATCTTAAGTTTATCTGTAATTCTAGCTAGTAGAACGTATATTTTGTTTGCTGAGTACATGATATATGTTTAACTTATTAACTTATTTAGGAGTCATGTGCATAATCATAATTACAGAAATGTGTTTGTTATCTGCTGCCCATTTCCTTTTGTCTTTAAAAACTCGACATTGAAATATTCTGAAATGAAACAAAAATGTGAAAATATTAGGAATTCATGAATCACCTGAGTGTATGTTTGTTTTCAGTAACCCCGGCACCTGTTGCGCCCAGTACCACGACAGGACCGCCCATATGCAAACATTCGTTTGTTAACTTAGGAGGGTCTTGCTACAAAGGTGTTAAAGTTGCAGCAACGTGGCCAGAGGCGCTGGTATGTCATTGCAGCGCTATAGAATATTACATTGTCATTCCTTGAATATAATAAGATTTTTTATCATTTATAACTCAAAACAAAAGTTGGAAGAAGAGATTTCCATGTCACTCAATATCCAAATATGACCAAAAGAAAACAATACATGGAGATTCACGAAATTTTAGGGAGAAAAGGACAAAATGTTCCGGAAGATTAGATGCCTATTGTTTCATTGACGACACAAACCATGTAAATCTGCTAACACGTCCAGCATCATAATATATCTGGTTATTTGTATTAATCATGTAACTATGGTTGCAGGCGTACTGTGAGGTGTTTGGAGCAGAGCTAGCAATCATCACTTCCCAAGAAGAACAGACCGCTATAGAAGGATATCTCGGCTCTTTAAATGATCGTAAGCATTTAATATCTAATCGATCACTTTTGGTTTTCCTCAGTCGCCTCCAAGGTTTCAAGATCTGGGCCCTTATCAGCAATGACGAGTTATGGAAATACGGTATAGCTTTATGCTGTCTGATGTATTATTTGACTTACGTTATCTAACTCTAAAGGTTTTTTGCTATGAACTCGTGTGTCTTTCGTACAAATAACTGAATCCACTGACCGTGTCAGCCATTTCATTATATACGTGTTTGTGTAAACCTATTGTCTAAAGGTCGGTCATAAGGTATGTGCTGTACCACTTCTTTTGTTGTAAAATGAATGTGTTTGAAGAATTTATATCATGTATAGAAACCAACTCCGGATAGAACATCCTCCATAACGATTTTGGAAAATGTCAATTGATATACCAATGGCTTGAGTTTTCTGATTTTCAATGATGTAGTTTTCATTGTAGCTGAGTATGGTAGTGACAAATACCATCAGTACTGGTTCGGAGCAAATGATATAATAACTGAGGGGGACTGGAAGTGGGCAGTTACGGCAAAGTCTCTCAACTATACCAACTGGCACAATGGTCATCCGGACAATGGCGGTGACGACAGCGACTATGACGAAGAACACTGCGCGGAAATGTCGCAGAAAAATAACTGGCAGTGGAATGACAACGGATGTGAGGAGGAGAAGCATTTCCTTTGTGAAATGATGTGAGCAAAATAGAAAACGTAACGAAAGGGACACGATTCCCTATGTACCTATTTGTATTTATGATTGTTTTGTTTTTTTATTAAAGGAATGAGCTATCTCGCGTACTGACCTAATGAAACTATCATTGTTGAATACCAGTTAAATAAAAGATTTATGAACAAAATCAGCATTCAAACTCAGAACCGATACAACTTTGGTAAAATATTAACCCAAAACGCGAATAGGACGACTAGATGTTCCATCATGGTCAGCTATGACTTTGTAACACGTGTTCTAATACAGAGCCGAAGAGAAAATAACATTAAAGCCACATTAACATCTGTGATACTATGTTTCAGTGACGAAGAATAGTGAAGGGCCACAGCATTGTTACTTGTGACCTACCATTCAGGTATACAAACTTTGTACTGATCTGAATAGCACAAAAATATATACTTAACATTTTTTAATATCTGGGGCACTTTAACGGAATTTCTCCTCTTCTCTTTGCCATGTTACCTTATGGTTCTTTGTAACCCACTGCATAATATCATATGACATACATGTATTAGCCATATTAGCATATGGCAAACGTTTATTTCTCACTAGATATAAATATCATATGACGCAATTGAATTATGTTCCTTTTGTTAATACTTTGCTTTATTTTACAGGACCATGCTAATCAAGATCAAAATACAATTTGCAATTCAGCATGCTACAAATTATATAGAAAATAAAATTAATCCTTCATATCTTTGTTCTTGACTTTATTATATGAAATGATTTGTTAAAAACGCTTGAGATTTTTGCATCAACGTTAAAAGCAACAATAATATAAAAGAAGTCAGTTCTGCAGTCACCTCCTTGGTTTCAATGTTTAGGCCCGTAGCATCACTAGCGAGTCACAGAAAGACGAAGCAGCTGTTTAATTCATAGTTATGCTCTACTGTGTCTATCTCTTAATTTGTACTTAAAAGTGTTATTCACTTGTGTGTCTTGTGTTCAATCTTTGAGATCACAGGTAGTACACACAGCTAGTACAAACTTTAGTCCCTGGTACGTTTTCAGATGTATATAAAACTTATGGAAATTTATTGAAATAACGGAAGTAGATTATCAATCATTTATTTGGTATCATAGTGAAAAAACCCAATACAACGATACAATATTCGGTAAAATACCAAAAGCCAAACGTTTGCATTGAAGTTTGTTATCACGATGTTCTTTGTTCATCTTTAACTACCTCACTAATTTAATTACTGGCAATATAACAGTAATCGTGCGTTTTTTACAGCCTTTTGTGGTGCAGATTCCCATTCTGATTGATATATTCATTGTTCTCGATTGAAATGTATGTCAATGTCTATATTGACATGTCTATATTTGCATGGCTGGTGTCATTGATGCAACCCTTCCGAAACACCTGGTTTTATTCCCTCTGTATTTCATAAAGTGCTCTCGTGTAAAGTGTTATTTTGTTCAAATTTGAGTTTAACTCAGATTTTGTTGTCATATTGAATATATCTTTGTTTTCTTGTTGGTTTTGAAGAAAAAGAAAGAATGGAAATGACTGATGTACTTGAATGCTATGTGGTGTATTGCAATCTCGGGTCACTGTACAGCACAGTCAGATACAATGTAGAAACATTTCTTGAAGTAGGTCACCGAGGAAATCTAAATGTCCTATTTCTCGGTAAGATTTAGGGAGGATATGTATAAATAGCCATAGTGTCAGGGTTGTTACTTATTGAAGACATATGCCAATCCACGTTTGTCTGTTTCATATCGTTGATATAAGGGAACTTCACGTACAAGAAACACATACACCTTTAAAAGTATAAATATATACCGCTATTCACAGTGAAATACAGTTACCTGCAATGTATTAAGATAAAACATCGTGTAGACAGAGGCAGCAACACCATTCAGTATTCAATATTCGAATCAAGTGCGGAATAAATATATATTATTTTCGTCTTTCTCATTTTTTTTAAACAAAAAATTATCTTGAAATCTGTTTACTTTTATTTCTTTGACAGGTCTGGTTGTTTTAAGATATTCTTACAACATACTTAACACGGAAAATTAGTACAACGTAGAACTGACTTGTTCATAGAAAGAAGGACAAGAAAATGCTCAATACCACACTAATTAACAGACATGAGTGTATCTTGTTGGAAATGTTTTCATCATAAATCGTAATTGATAGAAAATCAAGCAAAGTTGATTGAATATTGCCATCATTTCAAATCGTTATTTTCCTGAATATATATTTCCTTACATCTATATGTACGATAAGCAAAGCGTTTCTCTTATTTAGAATTATTTCTCTGTATACACGTTTGAGCGATAAATGTACACTTCTTGACTTTGATCACGCTAGGTCACCTTTGCTGTCCATCAAACCACGACTGACAAATACAGTTCAAGGACACAGTAGAGATAATCTCACGTTTGTTTGACTACTTAACACGTCCTTCGTATCAAAAGCAAACCCAAACCAAATCGATGATTAATCCATTTTTAAATAAACAATGACTTATGTTAATATAGCTGTCAACATTACCGTATCAGACAGAGCCGTTAAACGAGTTAGGATTGCTTTCTTTATCATCAGAGGAAACGTTTTGTATGATAAGTTCAATCTATAATTGTATTGTTATGATCTCATGAATGTACGGTGCACACCCGGGACAAAAGTTTTATCACCTTTTCATTACAGATGATAAATATACCCATCTGCTAATACTTAAAATATATCCGCGAAAAGGATATGTTCAAATGTCTTTTTCAATTTCAACTATATATATAAACTGCCATGTATGTAGGCGTGATTTTAAGAAACAGACCAATAGTCCAGAAATATTCTTTTGAGAGGAGGGCAGGACAGGTTATACAGTTTAAACATTAATTAAATATTAAATATATGTTAAAAAGTAACAATACAACAACGAAAATGTTTTAGTTTTTTTAATTCAGTTAAATTCAGGACAATATAGAAGGACCAATGTATTGGGTATAAATAAAATTTCTTGAAATCGGTAAAATCTAAGAATTATTTAGGAAAACCGTAAGTACACATGTAAGTATTTAAGAAAAGTTACCCTCCTTCTTCAAAAGTACCAATTGGTCAATTAAATAAGATCTTTTTACCTTCATTAATTATTTAATGACCATACAAGTATGTTACTTTCCTTCCATTAACTGGCCATGAAGGTAGGTTACCTTTGCCTTTCCATAGTTAATAACTGGCCATGACGGATGGTTACATTTACCTTCCCATAGTTATTAACTGGTCGTAAAGGTAGGTTACCTTTTTTCTCTCTCATATTGACTATTTGACCAGAAAAATGAGTTTCTTCCTCTCCCATAAAAGGTTAGTTACTTCTCCCCTCAAGTTGTTACTAACTAAACATTAAGGTAAGAAAAAAGTGATTTCTTCATCATCCGCCTACATCTATTTCTCTCTTCTTACAATGGAGATCAACCAGGAAAACTTTCCACCAAAAAAGATTACCACATCACTAGGCATATAAAAATGTTCTGTGTATTTTTGACATCGGCTATTTTTATGTCAACAGATATACCAGGTTGTAAATTCTTTTTGTTCTTCACGTTTTTTATTTCTTTATCAGGCAGCAGTACACAGTTTCTCGGTGTGGCCATGGGTGATTTTTTGTTCATTAGATTACCCCATTATAAAGGTTTTAATTAAAAATGAAAAAAAAATCCTTGCTAAAATTGGTCCTGTCATGTTAAAGTGGACAATGTGGAATTTCATTTTTTTCAGGATAATATTTTAGCTTTGTGTGGGAGATTACTATTTGGGCAGTCTTGAATCTGTGTCTACGCACCAAAACTAGCTTAACAGGAAGAGAAATTTTCATAGTGTGTACATGTGGTCATGTTATGAAGAATTTCCGAGTTGGAATTTGCTGAAATGTAAGTACTTTGTTACCATGACAGTGTTGTTGATTGTAAGATAGGTGTTTAGAAGTAAATTTCTTCTAGAAAGTTATAGTGTTAGGTTGGAATTAGCAGTATTTTTGCATTTTTAGCATTTTTTCAGTAGGTAACCATGACAATCAAATGTCAGAAAACAGAGGAAATTTTTTTTACACAAATTTCATCCCTCTAATGTTAATGTAATTGTTATGTAGTTTATAACTATATATACATGTAATGATGTATTTTTCATAACCCATCTGCTATACCTGTATATCTCAAGCATGACAAATAACTTCAGGTAAAATGCAAATTAACTGTTTACTTCTACCTCAATGAGTCGACATTTATTAATTACATCACTACCTAGATTACGTTGAGACTACCTGAAGATAACATCAGTAAGACAACGATCAGTTCTGGACAACCATGGAGTAAAGGTTAATAAAGACATTAGGGACATTTAATGCCATACAGCATCCATCATTATCTTTTACTTTGGCAAATAAAGAAAAGTATTTGGAGAAAACAAACACAATAAATTGATATTTTAAATGAAAACATTAGTCAAAACATTCACGATTTTCTTGTAGTATTGTTTGATATACACAACAATATCTATTCAACCCGCTTTGAAATTGTTGTCTATAATATGATATCCAGTTTGAACCAACACGACATGGATGCTCGCGACAGGAGCTGTCAGTTCAGCGGGAACATCTGTTTATCATGGTCTAGTGAAACTAGTGACTAAAAAGTGTTTTGACGTTTTCCGAAATCGATTAATGGTTGATATCATTCCTAACTTAATTTTAAATATCAAATTTGATTAACCCTTAAAACATTATTTTTTATTATGGACAGATTGGTGTTGATGAAAAAGTCAAGTTACGTGTACATTTTGTAAATGAAATCGTTCCAGTCATCAAAAACGAGACAGAGAAATGGACACTAAGCAGAATCGAAGTAGGTTTTCTAATGTATCACGTGATAACGCCTATGTAATACTAGTATTAAAGAATAAAAAAATTTCTTTATAAGATATGGTCTTATTTACTGTGCACATATTATAACAAATGATTTTTAGCATTTGGTTGGAGTTTCTTCGTTAATGAGTTAAAACCCTTGATAAGCTTCGGAATTCGTGCCAAGTTGATTGGTTATAGACAGTAAGATTAAATGTTTATGCAACAATGTAGAAATATGTCGGTTTCCAACCTTCAGAAACAAGATAAGATGTAAACATGGTGCCGACAACACGTTGTGGTTTTCTCATCCTGATTGTAGCACTAGTTGAAGGTAATTTACCATTTCATCGTTTAAATTTAGAAAACAACTTGGCACCAATATCACCAAATAACAATCCATTGTCGTAATTGGAAAAAAATGTGTTTGATTTGATTTTACATGGCTTGAGAGACGGGGATGACTAGGGTTGTTAAAATGACGTTGTACATCCAATTTTGCGATTTCAAAACGCAAACTCTACGCGGTGATATTTTTTCGATCAATACACTTTCTTATACTTTATGTATATTGTATGTAAAATGTCATGATATTCTAGCGCGCGTGTGAAATTTATGTGACCGTATTTCCACGTTAACAGTATATATAGATATATAATGAAAGTTGTCTGTTCAGAAGGTTCTACATTAAATATCAGTAGACCACACTATAACAAGGATTATGAAGTCTTCCAAATGGGGTCTTCTTCTTCTTATTATTATTATAATCATTATTCCCGCGACACTAGTTTCAGAAATCGTCCGTTCGATTGAAACGACACTTTGCACGAGCATAGATGGTAGTGCAGAGTTGTTCATTCTGCGATTCTTTTTTCCGACATCAAACATGGCGGCCAAAGCCTGTGATTGGTTAAAGCGTAATAGTCTATAACTAAAACACTGTTTGTCAGATTTAAATGAAACTTGATGTGAATATTGATGACCTTGTCAATTGTTTTAAAAATCCAAGATGGCCACCACAGAAAGTAAACTTTAAATGTTTTCCAGTTTGGATGAAAATTTAACAGGTGTGGTCTTATACAAGGAACACAACGACGCAATCAGTTTTAATAACAAAAATGTTTGTTCAACTTTGAAACTGTGATGATGTTAATGGTGTGTGTCTAGGGTCTTGCCTGCGTTGATAATCAATTGATGCTATCTATTGTCAGGGTCGTCTGCAGAAGTCTGCTGACTAGCCACTGGTTTACATCAGTCATGCATGACTGACTCTCTAGTTTAAAGTATGTACATCATGCCGTGTATTAACAAAATATTGTAAGAAAGATAATGTTTTCATCATAGAAGTGATTTTATGAAACCCAAGTATATCAGCTTTATAAAAACAATTACCAGAAGCTATGCATTTACTTTAAAGCAATCTTAATCAAATATTGTGAAGAAACACTACGTTATCATTATATAATATCAAAGGGTATTTAGATGTACTAATTGATATCAGTCTTTTACATATACGCCTGATGCCCTCTGTTTATTTTAAACAGCGTGGTGTTATAATAGCAAAGTGTATATAATGTGCAAATTGCTATCAATTTGATATAAATACTTAATACCCCATTTTATTTCAAAGTCTAAATAAAATACTATGTTATCCTTAAATAATGTGGTTTAATGAAACCAATTTGATATACAAAAGTACATAATGCCCTTTGGTTATCTTGAACAGCTGTAACAAAATATTGTGAAGCAATACTGTGTTATCATTATTCAATGTGGTGTTATATTAAAGTGTATTTGAATGTACTAATTGCAATCAATATGAAAATTGAAAGTACTAAATGCATCCTGTTTATTTTAAAGTCTTAACAAAATATTTTGAAGTAACACTATGGTATCCTTATATAGCGTGATGTTATTCTACCATTTTTTATTTATATAAGTAAATCGTATTGTTCTAGTTGTTATCAGTCTGATCTATGAAAGTACTGTGTACTTTGAATAGTCCTAACAAAATACAGTGAAGCGTTACGACTTTTAGTTACCATCCATTTTGTCACGTATCTATTGATATAGTATTGTTTTACCTCATGTTATACATTTTCATGTATCTGAGGATCCAATAAACTTGAAACTTGAAACTTATTTTGCTCTAGTGTAGAAAGGCTCTGCGAAAGCGGGTGTAGTTTTGGGACTTGTGTAACGGTTTCCGTTACAGTTAGATATTGTTACGATTGACATGGTGTTGTCTATCTAGATTGGTTTTAATTTAAATTGTTCTGCTAATATTACTTCTCGATCGGTTGTTTCAGTTAATGGCGAATGTCCAGATGGTTTCATCAAACATAACACGTCTTGCTACGACATTCCTCACGTGAAAGCAGACTGGTCTCAGGCAACGGTAATCACTTATCATAGATGCTATAGGACTTTAAATTCACAATGAAACGTGAAAGTGTATGGAGTTGGATATGGCGTAGAGAGTTGGAGTATGGTGTAGATTACAAAACGTCTGACATGGAGAGTTGGAGTATGTTGTAGATAACAAAACGTCTGACATGGAGAGTTGAAGTATGTTGTAGATAACAAAACGTCAGACATGGAGAGTTGGAGTATGGTGTAGATAACAAAACGTCTGACATGGAGAGTTGAAGTATGTTGTAGATAACAAAACGTCTGACATTGAGAGTTGGAGTGTGGTATAGATAACAAAACGTCTGACAATAGAAGCAACCTTGTACTAAAACTGACCACCATTGTATCGGTGCATACGATCACATTTTTTATATTCAGAGAAAATCCAATCAAATTTTCAGTGGAGCATTTTCCTGTATCAATATTCAGGTTATGATTCATCACAGGACTCTAACGTATCTAATTTTACGTTTTGTAAAGTGCTATTGACTGTCTTTAGGACTCTCTTGTTTATACGGGTTAACTTATATGTTGTCCTTATTTAATCACCAGGTAGTTTGTAATGAACTCAATGGTCACCTACTGGAGCTCGATGACGCGGCAGAAGAAAGCTTCGTACATGGTTTCCTTTCTTTGCACTGGAGTGAGTAGAACATGTTAACATTTTCTATCATAAAACAATTAAGTTTATTAAAGACAAACAATAAAACAAGGAAAAATAATCATCAAAAGAAATTTGAAAAAAAGAGAAATGGGAAGAACGGACCAAAAGGGACATCTACTCCACCTACTGAACCAGTACGAGCGATTACTTCCCAATATCAGTAACCCTTGGTCAAGTATTGATAGCTACCTGGGATTATCCATTATCTCGGATACCAGAATTGTTTTCCTATGAAGATAATTTGTGAATTTTTGGCTCAATATCAGCCAAATGTAATGTGAAAAGAAATGGGAACATGCTTTATATAAAAAAAATTCGTAATTAAGTAGGGAGTGAATTTCATCTAAGAGATTATATAATGATAGTATGTATGTTTCAACATAACATAGCAGGATCAGAGAAAGTAGAAACCCTGAAACCTTGGTAAGTCATGCATCAGTTTCAGGGAGGGAACGAAATAGTGGCGCAGTGGTAACGCACTCGCCATTCACCTAGCCGTCCGGGAACGGACGTGAAAAGGTTAGGGATCACCTGCAATTGCGAAACAAGTTATTTCAACTTATACTAATCACTCTTGTATGCCCCGATGTAAAGATATGATATTGAAATAAGAGACATGTGTTGAATAATCTAATACCGACTAAAACATTTTGATACAAGAGACGTTTCCAATCTCTAAGTAATCTACATATGTGTTTCCTGTGTGTATCTTTTCAAGGAATGGTATGTTTAAACGTGTCATTTGGTGAACGAGGAAAAATCTCCTGGAGGGGACATACATTTTTTACGTAAAAGAGGAGAAATTGTGTGGCATGGATTTTTTTCTAAATACAATGACAACTGAAATCACAAGTTCTTTATGAATGCACATGTACAAATAGAAAAAGCAAAACAGGACAATAATAGTGTGTATTGAATCATGTAAGTAGTAGCACACTTTCTATTGGAGCTTATTTCACACCTTTGGAAGTGACTGTTTAGGTCAAACTTTGGGAAGTATACGAATGGAAAAGGACAAAGAATAATACACAAATCATATCTGTTATTTAGATAACATTAAAGTAAATATCATTCAATTACCGACGAAGTTTATTTTTTGAGTGAAACTATTTGTATAAAACTGACATTGGAACTATGATTTTCAATTTGACTCGGAACACATTTTATATCGCTTTACTGGAAATATTTCAATGTCAATCATTTTGAACGAAAGTCAGCATCAAATATATTTATTTTTCATTGATAGAAGAGGCAGAAAGCCTAATTACATATGATTAAAGGAGTGAGCCTTAGTTCATCGTTTCTAAAATCCATCGTGAATAGATAACAAACTTTTGTGCTTGTTTAAACAATTACAAATCTTTTTTTTATTCATCAGATACAGATACTCAATAATTGATGTGACATATCAATGTATGTCTGTTGTATCATACATTAAAGAATATCCTTGAAAACAATCCTGTTATATTGTTAAATGATAGTGTCCATATTCTGTTAGAATTATATTTCATTGAGTTCTCTTTAAACTCAACAAAGCTTATCATTCATGTCAATTGATGTACCTTTTTCTCCATATTCGTTTTCTTGATTTTCAAATCATTATATTTTGTAGGACCTTCAACTTTGGTATTAAACTTCAGCGAATTACTACGATGGCTTTGTATGGTCAATGATAGCTAACTTTTTCATAGTATCACATTCCCTGTAACTGTCATTTGCTTCAGAAGCCTACAACCCGCCCGAATTCTGGATCGCCGGAAATGACATTTTAGTTGAAGGTACCTGGGAGTGGGCATCGGGGAAACCAGTAACCTATTCGAATTGGGATGACGGCGAGCCTAACAACGGAGGAAACGACGATAATAACGAACATTGCATGGAAATGTCACAGAGAGATCAATGGAAGTGGCACGATCAGGAATGTGAAGAAGATCGTTATTTCGTATGTGAGGTTCCGTAAGTATCTTGTAAGAAGTGGGGCATATTTCATGTAAAGGAATCCGGACTAAAAGGAGGGACATATCTTATGTAAGGTACTCCGTTAAGTATATATAGCATAAGAGATTCCGTACTAGAAGTGGAGACATATTTCATATAAGAGATTCCGTACTAGAAATCGGGACAAGATTAATATAAGAGATTCCGTACTAGGAGTGTGAACATCTTTTATATAGGAGATTCCGTACTAGGAGAGTGAACATGTTTTATATAAGAGATTCCGTACTAGAAGTGGAGACATATTTCATAGAAGAGATTCCGTACTCGAAATCGGGACATGATTAATATAAGAGATTCTGTACTAGGAGTGGGGACATGTTTCATAAAGATATCCCTTACTAGAAGTGGAGACATATTTCTTAGAAGAGATTCCGTACTAGAAATCGGGACATGATTGATATAAGAGATTCCGTACTAGGAGTGGGGACATGTTTCATAAAGAGATCCCGTACTAGAAGTGGAGACATATTTCATAGAAGAGATTCCGTACTAGGAGTGTGAACATGTTTCATATAAGAGATTCCGCACTAGGTGTGTGAACATGTTTTATATAAGAGATTCCGCACTAGGTGTGTGAACATGTTTTATATAAGAGATTCCGCACTAGGTGTGTGAACATGTCTTATATAGGAGATTCCGTACTAGGAATGTGAACATGTTTTATATAGGAGATTCCGTACTAGGAGTGTGAACATGTTTTATATAAGAGATTCCGTACTAGGAGTGTGAACATGTTTTATATAAGAGATTCCGTACTAAGAGTGTGAACATGTTTTATATAGGAGATTCCGTACTAGGAATGTAAACATGTTTTATATAAGAGATTCCGTACTAGGAGTGTGAACATGTTTCATAAAGAGATCACGTACTAGAAGTGGAGACATATTTCATAGAAGAGATTCCGTACTCGAAATCGGGACATGATTAATATAAGAGATTCCGTACTAGGAGTGGGGACATGTTTCATAAAGAGATCCCGTACTAGAAGTGGAGACATATTTCATAGAAAGATTCCGTACTAGGAGTGTGAACATGTTTTATATAGGAGATTCCGTACTAGGAGTGTGAACATGTTTTATATAGGAGATTCCGTACTAGGAGTGTGAACATGTTTTATATAAGAGATTCCGTACTAGGAGTGTGAACATGTCTTATATAGGAGATTCCGTACTAGGAGTGTGAACATGTTTTATATAGGAGATTCCGTACTAGGAGTGTGAACATGTCTTATATAGGAGATTCCGTACTAGGAGTGTGAACATGTTTTATATAGGAGATTCCGTACTAGGAGTGTGAACATGTTTTATATAGGAGATTCCGTACTAGGAGTGTGAACATGTTTTATATAAGAGATTCCGTACTAGGAGTGTGAACATGTCTTATATAGGAGATTCCGTACTAAGAGTGTGAACATGTTTTATATAGGAGATTCCGTACTAGGAGTGTGAACATGTCTTATATAAGAGATTCCGTACTAGGAGTGTGAACATGTTTTATATAGGAGATTCCGTACTAGGAGTGTGAACATGTTTTATATAAGAGATTCCGTACTAGGAATATGAACATGTTTTATATAGGAGATTCCGAACTAGGAGTGTGAACATGTCTTATATAGGAGATTCTGTACTAGGAATGTGAACATGTTTTATATAGAAGATTCCGAACTAGGAGTGTGAACATGTTTTATATAAAAGATTCCGTACAAGAAGTGGGAACATATTTTATATTAGCGATCCCGTACAAGAAGTGGGGACATATTTTATATAAGGGATCCCGTAATAATATGTTTGGTTTTATTAGCGGAGACGTGTCTCAAATAAGAAATTTCTTACTAATGTAGCCATGAGCATGTGTTCGCAATTTGGTTCAAAACTGATATATCAAATCTTATTTGCCTCATATTTTTGCCGTTGAAGAGAAGGAATCGTATTATGTAATTATTTATCAAGTAGAATTCACAGGTTAAATATTCACCAAAATAAATAAGACAGAGGTGAAAAACAATTGTCATCTTTCAGTCCCCTAAATTATTGAAGGAAAGCACATATGTGGAAAATATATAAAATCCTTAGCGTAAAGTATGGGAAATTAAAGTTCAGTCAAAAATACATTACATTCAGTATTGCCAAAAGTTGCTTTAGTTCCGAACCTGACCATACAAACATGTGTTTCTGTCAATTGCGAATTTAAATGGAATATCTTATTTAGAAAAAAAATATGTATGTACGATTTCATACGAAAACATAAACATAATGATTTGTTATGTAAATGAAGGGACACATACTGTGTCGCCTGTAAATGTTTATTGTGATTATTTTGATATCAAGTTATTCATCAGAAATAAGAAACCCAGTGTATACTGAACCAGTTAGTGTCTCAGAAATACCTCTGTTATATTGGTTTGGTTGTATATTGCTAATCTTTCTAGTAACAGATGTTCTTTAAGGATGGTCTCCATATAGGTGAAAAATGTTCGTGCTAACCTCCATAAAGTGTTATCACACTGAAGAATACTGTCGTTTACGATGACATGGTAATTAGTTCAACCATTGAATAATAGGAATAGGAATTGTATGTTTATAAAACTGATGAAATAATTTATTAATTAGTACTTCATGTTTGTCAGTATTTTTGGTTTACTATCGAAATTATACGAAGGACACTTTTCGATGCAAATTCAAAATGACATACAGCATAGCAAAAAATCCTATACATTTGTTTTGTTTACAGGGTTACAGACGCCATTGGTGGCTTCGCACCAATAGGCTAATCATCGAGATGTCACGTGCTTTCATGCCTCGCGCTCACTGTGATGTACCCAGAGTTTGTTATATTAAACAATACATGGTATTTGGAATCAAATGTTGTTGTGTTGTAGTTGATGTTTTAGTTGCATGAATTTAAAATGGAAGTATGTTTTGACTTGGATTCCAAATTGTGGATAAAATCCGTTTTAGAATAAACGGTAATCCTCTTTTGGTTAACTTGTTTTTTATTTACAACGCACCTGAATTGATCAAAATAACTACAAAGCCCATGGCAAATCACTTTTAGATATATTCGTGACGTTTCGTCTTTAAATATCGCATTAAGCCACCAGAATTAGGAATCAAGGACACGGCGATCTCTACGTCAGCCGATTATATTTCTCTACAACGAAACCAACAAGGATATTTTCCCATTCTTTTGATAAACGCGATAAATTCAAATTTGCTATTGTGAATTATATATTTCTGGATAGCAATAGTCCTGCATTATCAATCTATGATATTCACATGTCACAGTTGATTCGATATTCTAGGGATTGTATCTTGATTTCCGTGCAAGATGTCGGCAAGTGACAGATGAATTCACAATGCCAAGTTTCTAGAGATGCATGTTGATGAAAACTATAGGTAAGTTTGTACGGCTGTTTCAATGAGCTCATCAAGAAGTATTCTATTTCTTCTTGTGTAATGAAGTTGGGCATGGACGATGCTCGTTAGTTTGGTCTTTAATTCCGTTGTTTGTATACATTGTTTTCACGTGAGAACATGACATTATTTACTTGGATTGTCCAAGATTTACACGGCGGCTGTCGTCGATGAAGCCGAAGACGCTTACCCTTACGGATCAGCTGGTCTTATCGTCCTTGAATTTTTCCAGGTGTATGAATTTAAACGTACTTTCCCACAATACATTTTATCCGGAATGTGAATAGATTTTATTCCAGTCCGTAAAGGTTATCTGTCTGCATTGTGCTAACAATCAACAGGGACGTTCAATTGCTACACGAGAAAACTAGCCCTTGTGCGCTGTCAGATATACATTAGAGTCCTGTCGTTTAAATGTTTTTATCTTACTGACTTTCTGTTGGTGCATCCGATCTAAACAAGCTCGCATATAAGTGGTCTGATAGTTTTGTACTAATGGCAAATAGTGCCATTTATGGTATGTACCGTTATCGTGTCAGATATCGTATAACTGGACTGGTATATCTGAGTAGTCATTCAATAGAACAAAAATATTCCTGTCTGAATTTACACAACAAAAATGTTCGAACCGTTTCATCATGTACATGTAATACAAAAAACTGATATAAAGCATAGTTGATGGCCAACGTTTGTTGAATGATATACATGTGGTATAAAGTTCCACCGAGTCTGACCTTACAGTCATGAAGTATTGATGAACCATGATGATAATGATTAACATAGAACCTAATGAGGTATACTTGTACATTGTACTTATTATTCAGCAAACAATGCATTAGATGAGGTATTACAATTCATGATAGGTAAAATTCGCTGCTTTTCTACATAAAATTCTCAATCACGATTCGAAATAGTTTAATTTACAGATTAATATAATAAGAAATCTTAATGATGATTGGAAAACAAGCTTGAAGCTTATATCAAGTCCTCTCAAGTTAAAACTGTAGGGTTACATAGTGCCGAACACAAGGTAAAACTGAACGGCTACAGTGTGCCGAACACAAGTGCCAAACACAAGTGCCGAACACAAGATAAAACTGAACGGTTACAGTGTGCAGAACACAAGTGCCGAATACAAGGTAAAACTGTGATGTTACAGTGTGCCGAACACAAGTTAAAACTGTACGGTTACAGTGTGCGGAATACAAGTTAAAACTGTACGGTTACAGTGTGCCGAACACAAGTTAAAACTGTACGGTTACAGTGTGCCGAATACAAGATAAAACTGTACGGTTACAGTTTGCCGAGCACAAGTTAAAACTGTACGGTAACAGTGTGCCGAACACAAGTTAAAACTGTACGGCGGTAACGACACAGACTATGACGAAGAACACTGCGCGGAAATGTCGCAGAAAAATAACTGGCAGTGGAATGACAACGGATGTGAGGAGGAGAAGCATTTCGTTTGTGAAATGATGTGAGCAAAGTAGAAAACGTAACGAAAGGGACACGATTCCCTATGTACCTATTTGTATTTATGATTGTTTTGTTTTTTATTAAAGGAATGAGCTATCTCGCGTACTGACCTAATGAAACTATCATTGTTGAATACCAGTTAAATAAAAGATTTATGAACAAAATGAGCATTCAAACTCAGAACCGATACAACTTTGGTAAAATATTAACCCAAAACGCGAATAGGACGACTAGATGTTCCATCATGGTCAGCTATGACTTTTTAACACGTGTTCTAATACAGGGCCGAAGAGAAAATAACATTAAAGCCACCGTTACAAACTGTGATACTATGTTTCAGTGACGAAGAATAGTGAATGACCACAACTTTGTTACATGTGACCTACCATTAAGGTATACAAATTTTGTACTGATCTGAATAGCACAACAATGTATACTTAACATTTTTAATATCTGAGGCACTTTAACGGAATTTCTCTTCTTTGATATCACACATCACACACTATTAGATATTTCTTATGCCAGCTTAAGACACACGAGTATAACTAATAATTTCAGTATAAGCCCTCAAGTACATCGCCTTCTTTATTATACAGTATACGACATCCATGAATTGTATTCTCTATAATATCAGCATGTGACAAAGATGTTAGATATTAATTGGTATGTATAGTTCTTAATAATTGATTTGCATAATCTTTGTCATATTACCTTATGGTACATTGTAACCCACTGCATAATATTATATTAGCCATATTAGCATATGACAAACGTTTATTTCTCACTAGATATAAATATCATATGACGCAATTGAATTATGTTCCTTTTGTTAATACTTTGCTTTATTTTACAGGACCATGCTAATCAAGATCAAAATACAATTTGCAATTCAGCATGCTACAAATTATATAGAAAATAAAATTAATCCTTCATATCTTTGTTCTTGACTTTATTATATGAAAAGATCCTTGCACCTGAAATAGTCATTTAATGACCATACAAATAAGTTACTTTCCTTCCATTCACTGACCATGGAGGTAGGTTACCTTTACCTTCCCTTAGTTTATAACTGGCCATGAAGGTAGATTACCTTTACCTTCCTATAGTTAATAACTGGCCATGAAGGTAGGTTACCTTTACCTTCCCATAGTTTATAACTGGCTATGAAGGTAGGTTACCTTTACCTTCCCATAGTTAATAACTGGCCATGAAGGTAGGTTACTTTTATCTTTCCATAGTTAATAACTGGCCGTGAAGTTAGGTTACCTTTACCTTCCCATAGTTAATAACTGGCCATGAAGGTAGGTTACCTTTACCTTCCCATAGTTAATTACTGGCAATGGAGGTAGGTTACCTTTACCTTCCCATAGTTAATAACTGGTCATGAAGGTAGGTTATTCGTACCTTCCCATAGTTAATAACTGGCAATGAGGTAGGTCACCTTTACCTTCTCATAGTTAATAACTGGCCATGAAGGTAGGTAACCTTTACCTTCCCATAGTTAATAACTGGCAATGAGGTAGATTACCTTTACCTTCCCATAGATAATAACTGACCGTGAAGGTAAGTAACCTTTACCTTCCCATAGTTAATAACTGGTCAAGAAAGTAGGTTACTCGTACCTTCCCATAGTTAATAACTGGCCGTGAAGGTAGGTTACCTTAACCTTCCCATAGTTAATAACTGGCAATGGAGGTAGGTTACCTTTACCTTCCCCTAGTTAATATTTGACCATGAAGGTAGATTATCTTTACCTTCCCATAGTTCCATAGTTAATAATTGGCCATGAAGGTATGTTACCTTTACCTTCACATAGTTAATAACTGGCCATGGAGTATTTGACCATGAAGGTAGATTACCCTTACCTTCCCATAGTTAATAACTGGCCATGAAGGTATGTTACCTTTACCTTCACATAGTTAATAACTTGCCATGAAGGTATGTTACTTTTATCTTCCCATAGTTAATAACTGGCCATGATAGTAGATTACTTTTACTTTCCCCTAGTTAATATTTGACCATTAAGGTAGGTTACCTTTACCTTCCCATAGTTAATGACTGACCATGAAGTTAGGTTACCTTTACCTTCCGGAAGTTAATAATTGGTCATGAAGGTATGTTACCTTTACCTTCCCATAGTTAATAACTGGTCATGAAGATAGGTTACTCGTACCTTCCCATAGTTAATAACTGGCAATGGAGGTAGGTTACCTTTACCTTCCTATAGTTAATAACTGGCCATGAAGGTAGATTACCTTTACTTCCCCATAGTTAATAACTGGCCGTGAAGTTAGGTTACCTTTACCTTCCCATAGTTAATAACTGGCCATGAAGGTAGGTTACCTTTACCTTCCCATAGTTAATTACTGGCAATGGAGGTAGGTTACCTTTACCTTCCCATAGTTAATAACTGGTCATGAAGGTAGGTTATTCGTACCTTCCGATAGTTAATAACTGGCAATGAGGTAGGTCACCTTTACCTTCTCATAGTTAATAACTGGCCATGAAGGTAGGTAACATTTACCTTCCCATAGTTAATAACTGGCCATGAGGTAGATTACCTTTACCTTCCCATAGATAATAACTGACCGTGAAGGTAAGTAACCTTTACCTTCCCATAGTTAATAACTGGTCATGAAAGTAGGTTACTCGTACCTTCCCATAGTTAATAACTGGCCGTGAAGGTAGGTTACCTTAACCTTCCCATAGTTAATAACTGGCAATGGAGGTAGGTTACCTTTACCTTCCGAAAGTTAATAATTGGTCAAGAAGGTAGATTACCCTTACCTTCCCATAGTTAATAACTGGCCATGAAGGTAGGTAACCTTTACCTTCCCATAGTTAATAACTGGCCATGGAGGTAGATTACCTTTACCTTCCC